CCAATCTGAGCCACAGCAGTGCCCGGCGCGCTCCCGAGGGGCACCGGACCCTCCACAAATACCTGCTGCCTCCAGCGCAAGGCCAGGTCAATGGGTTATAATCATCTCCCTGCTGCTCGGTAATCCCCCTTTGTCTCCTATTCACAAGCAACGCTGGTGACCCCGCGCAGGACGGCGGGGAGGGGGGCTGCCGCCGGGCCCCCCAGCCCGGGGGGAAGGATGCTGCCGTGCTAAGGGAGGATGCCAGAGCCAGGGCAGCGGGCACTGGGCTCCCCGCAGCCCTGGGGGGAGGCAGGAGCAGCCCCCCCAGCCAGGAGGGAGGATGCTCCCATGTCCCCAGCACCCCCTCCATCCCCAGCACGGAGAGCCAGAAGTGCAAAATATCCTTTATTGGGGAAGGACAGCACCAAACCAGCAGCTTCCCAAGCTCTTCTGCACCTGGAAAGGAAGCAGAAAGGGTCTTGCACACCAGCAGCCCGGGCTGACCCTGCTCTGGGGCCAGGTCCTGCCCCAGGACCCTCCCACGAGGTGGGAGGCACGCACAGGCCCCCTCCCAGCCCCGTAGGGACCCTCACACCCAGCTACCCCATACCTGGCCGGGCTCTGCCGCAGCTCCTGCTACTTCTTCGCCGCTGCCTTCCTGCCCCGGCCGCTTCCTCGCCCCTGCGGGGACGGAGCTGAGCGTGGGGAGCCCCCAGCCCGGGCACAGCCAGCCAGGACTGCCTGGCCCTGTGTTTCACCCCCATTTTTGAGTCAGCAGCCGATTAACATCACACATCACCCCCTTTCCCTGCCCAAGAGCTCCCGGTCCCGATCAATGTGTTACCCCATCACAGGCATGTGGGTTAAGCGGGAGATGCAGAGGAACACCCCGGCCGGCTCCTACCTTGCTGGGAAGGGGCTCCTCGGGGGAGACGTTGTTCCTGCTTGGGAGAGACAGGGAGGGCTGGGATTAGGGGCACGGGGTCCCGGGAGCATGGGGGATCCCCTGCTCCATGGCAGGGCGGGTGGGTACGTTTCCCTCCATCATACTCACAGCTCATCCTCCTTCTCCAGCCTCCTCTTCTAGGGGAGAGAGAGGAAGATGTAGACGACAGGGACGGGCGTGCGCAGGCGGGAGGGGGACTCGCTACGGAGCCTGCGACTCTTCCTCCCCCAAGGATGAAGATCACAGCTCACCCCCATTACAGAGAGGGCTTTGGGGCTGGGGCTCGGTGGGAGCTGGGAGCAGCCCACCCCTGGGGTCTGGGCATAGGAAAGCTGCCAGCAGAGAAGGGGGCATCCCTGGCCCCCTCCACGGCACAGGGACCCCTCCTCAACCCACATCCCCAGCCAAAGGGGGGCTTACCTTAGCGGCGCTGCCCTTCTTGGCAGCTTGGCCCCTGGGGGGCTTCTCAGGGGACTCCTCTGCTGGCTCCTCTTCCTCAGCACCCTCCTCTTCTTCTTCCCCTTCGTCCCAGGACAGGTTGGGCATCACTGCGGGAGAGGCCGGCTGAGCCCCCCGCTCCCAGGGAGGGGTCATGGGGTGGTGGTACCCCAGTACTTACTGGAGACGTGCTGCCCGC